GGGGGTTAAAAAAAAGCTATGCCCAACGATCCAGGACAACTTCCGTCAGTTTGAAGCCTCCAAGCATGTACTGTGAAGTGGACTCCAGCTGAAACAGAGTTGCCTGAAACATTGCAGGTGCTGATATTGGCAAGGTTCCAGAAAATCCCAGCAGGTTTTGATAATGGCAAAGTCCTTGCTGCAAAGCATACCTCCACAACACCTTCCCGCCGAGGGCACCCTTTGAAGCACAAGAAGTTGGTACGGTTATGATGATGTTGATGAGTGCAAGTATGCAGCAGTATGTATTCATTACACTTTTTCTTCTGCCTTAGCCAAAGCCCGGAAGAGCTGCTTGCAGGTGACCACCGGCGCTGGCGGCGACCTCCAGCAGGTCAGGGAATGATCCGAGAGATCGAAATACGGTCCCCGCAATTGCTGTTAGTGCTTGTAATGTTTTGCCAAATTAGGGTTTAGGGTTGAGGTAACATCCCGTGCAAAATAGTACCAATCTTCGTCTTCGCGAGAACAGTGCCCAAGAGGAAATGCCTGATGCCTGATCCCAGCAAAGCCTTTCATGGTAATTTCAGCCTCGGTCTACTTGGAGGTTTATAGGTGATGAGAAGCATGGGCATGAGGCCTCCAGCCTGATGATGAAGATTGCTGTTACTCCATTCTAGCCAGATGCAATGACACATGGCCTTTCAAACAGGGCACGGACGTTCTCGCGAGGGTTTCCCCATTTTTCAGTTCTATGCATTTCCAGCAGAGTTGCGTTCTTGATTGCAGCGTCTCCTGCAAAACCAAGCCCATGGAGCTTTTCATACTTGGATGCTAAGACCCTTACACCTCTTGCGCGCCCTAAAGTCTGAACAGGTGGAGCGCATGGCACGGGCCATGGTCACGCAGTTTGGAATGTACTTTGGCTTTCAATCTCTGTGTGCGTGCTCTTGCGCATGACCATTATCGCGCTGATATGTAGAATCGGCAGAAAGGCTACTCGAGGCTTTGCGGGGTAATTAGTTTGCTAGATCACATTTCTGGTTCTTAAGATGCATCCTTGTATGGCCACCTATTGCAAGTCTTTTTCTGTGGAACCCCTTATCAAGTCGCATATTTCCCGCCTATAATATCCTCAGCCAGATATTTAGCCCGCCTATTTTTTTCTGTAGTTAGTTACGCCCACCTCACCTATTTCATTCAATTTCTATATTGGAATCCAGGTCCGATGTCGGCTCCCTGGCCATCGATGATGGAGGCTTCATGGGCCCTGAGTATTCTGAGGACCTGAGCGAGATGTTTGGCTGCAGCTGGCTCGGGTGGGCTGGGGCATACAGGCATGTACTCATATGGGGATATGTAGGAGCAGTTGTTTGAGGATGTTCATGTGACCACGTAGGGAGTTAGTAGATATCATATAATGGATGCAGGCAGCCCTCGATGCAGCTTGATTTTTTGTATTCGTATATGGAAGCTCAGTCCAGTATCTCCTTTGGGCGCAGTTGGTCCTTTGACTCCTGACCTTCAGTCTATGGGCGTCTTGTTCTGCTTACTAGGTTCTAACCTGTGATTGACCTGCCACCACCACCATTGAAGATTATAAGCATTGAGGTCTCGGCTGTTTCAATACCTTGGGATGGATCACAGGTTCTGGGTCTGATATGTTTGCAACGCTTTTCGATTTGAGCGCGTCAGAGCTGAAGAAAGGCCAGAGCCAAGTTCTGTTGTTCTGGGGGAGCTGAAGGAGGCGAGCAGACAACAGCACAAGCAAAGCTGGTTCTAAGCTGGCTCAAACACCTGTTTAGGGTTTAGCGTTTAGGGGCTTTGACTTTAATGGGTTCCGCGTGCTGCAGTGCTCATGAGATCAGAGGTACCTTTTCCAGGTTTTGTTCGGCCAGCCAGGCTTGACGTTACACCCCTAGGGTGTAACCCCTGGTTATATTGCGGTGACATTGGGGGTATATTGGGACAATGGAGAAGAAAATGGAAACAACTATAATGGGGTTACCGGGTTTCGGGTTTGGATTTCCCCGATATACAAGGGTATTATAGTATGCTGGTAACCATTATGAAGAGGGCGTGGGGGTTTATCGTGTACTTGGGGGAGGTGATTATAGCCAGCCACTCTGGAAGTTATATTCTAGCATATTATAATATAGTATCGTGTTACATCGTATAATATATTATATCACACTCTGGTATTATAGTATATTATCGTATGATATACTATGATATACTGTAATAAGGTATAGCAATATTATATTATAATATACTATAATATACTACAATATAGCATCCTGTCCTTGATGCTGAGTGTTAGGGCCAATTGGCCGTACTTCTCAGGAAGATTGATGGGGCCATCAAGGCGATCTCGGATGAATGATGCTCGGCATGTAGATGGGAGATTGCGAAGGGAATATAACCCCTATGTGAGCTGTAGTCTAAACTCCTTGAAGGGGGGATATATAGGGGATTATCTAGGGGAGTATTATAGCGGATATTAAGGGGGATAGTAGGAGTTTAGACTGTAGCTCATACAACCCCTGTAGAACATAATCATTTCAGTATTCCTTACTCAGCCCTCAGCCCTAGTAAGAGGAACAGCAGAAGAAGTGTTCCTGTTTTTGGGTTTCCAGCTATGTTCGCCGTTGTGCGATGATCGGCAGTAACTTTCATAACCCTCAAGCCCCAGTGGGCAGGGATGTCCATGGCCTGGGGGCCCCAATCCTTATTGTAGGGGCCCCCACAAAGGGCTCAACACTCTTGGAAACCAAATTCCTATAACGGACCACAATCCCAGTTTCCATTTCATTTCTATGTATTTCCCATTTGATTCTCCATTATCGGGATACTATCCCTAAAGCATAAACTCTAAATAGTACTGTCCATTTTCTTTTGCACTCGCCCTAGAAAACCCCAATATATAGCCCTCATAGAACCCCTGTATACTCCCAGTTTTCATGTCATGTTCCATTTTTCCGTTTGATTCTCCACTATAGTAGTTTCCATTTTTCCATTTTCGTCAAGTAGTAGTTTATGACAACCTTTTACTCCAAAGGTTCAGGGCTCATCCTTTTGAGGCTACCTCAACGCCCTGAACATCTTGATGACCAATCGCGCCTGCCTGGACCCACTCAGGGGTTCAGGGTGTGACTTACTGGGGGGTAGTAGGGAACCAGGGAATGTATTGTAATACGGTATATAGGGCTCATGTGGGGCTCATGTTCCTTTATTCCCTACTAAGAACCAGTAAGTTGAGGGTTTCTGGTTGAGGTTGGGAGTTTGGACTTTGAGGCGGAGGGATTGAAGGCTTTGGGGGCAGGGATCTGAGGTCTGGGGCTCAGGGTTTCGGGCTTGAGGTGGGGGTTCCGGGATTAGGGTTGCTACAAGGGGTCCTCTAAGGCCCTGACCAGAGTGTACCCAGAAGCCTCCTATGCAGTTTTTGGGGGATCGCTTTCAGTTTGTTATGTCTTTTGGTACAGGATTATGTCGTATACCACTTAAATGGGAACTACATAAGAGCCCTGAAAAAGTTAGTCCGCATAGGGCCCTACCTTGGCCAATCCCTGTAAGGCCACAATCTGATCTACCTGCACCCCGTGTCCAAATCTTACAGAATCCCATGCATTTCTAGAAGCTGTTCAAAAAAGCTCTTAAATTATCACTCGAAACCCCGACAGTATATACCCGGCTGTTCAGCAAAAGTGGTTCCTACATTGTTAGGTACTTTGCGGCCAAAGTTGAGATTGTATCTGCCCTCAACCCTGAGTAGTAAACCTTGATCTCTAAAGGCTTTACCATCCCTGACCCGAAGCCGCATGGAGGACAAGGTGGCTGACGAGCTGACGGAGACCGAGACAATGACTGGCGATCGCCTGCGGGTGCCTTGTGGTTGGGAAGGGTTGAACCGAGAATTATGGGGCTTCAACGGTCTGTGTGGGCTTCAGGGTTTAGAGTTTAATTGGAGTCTGCTGGCATGTTACGGATTTGTAGGCATCTCTTCTAGGGATGCAGATGGAGTTTGTTGAAATCCCTTAGCAAGCCTCTGGGGCATAGCGTTTCAGCACATGCCTTGGAACCATACTTCAGCAAGCGCTGGGCTGCAAAAGACAATCGCTCGTCGTAATGAGAAGCCAGCAGATGAGAGAAGCCACGGTGACCGTCAACCTATGGCCCCAACCCTCTTGGTTGTAGAATTTGATAAGCCATGGATTTCTAACGAAGAAGTCGTTCCCCAAAGGCCCCAAGGACATCGGATGTTTTCCAGAAACCTGACATACGACTGATAGCACAAAGCCTTTGTAGCAGCCTAACCCCTGAACCCATTCAGGACATCATCGCGGAGTACGTTGAGATCCCAGCTAAGTCTGAAGCCCAGGAAAAGTTGCTCAGTGCCCCGCAACGGATCATGGGAACCCTACCGTCTCCTCCTAGACAAGCCTTCTGTTTAAATCTAGCCCTGTGGTGAGGACCTACGCTTGCATTTCCAGGGGTTGGGACCATTCCATTGATTTGGAACCGTTCTCGCTGGGGCCTCTTGTTCTTGCTGCTACAACTTCAGGCTACCTCAGCCAAACCTCTGTGGACCCCCCTCCGAAGCGTATGTGGCAACTGTATAGGGGACGCTTTCTTTTTGAATCATCTTCTGCACATCCAGGGGCTGGTGTGCCATTAGAGCAAGAATCTGCATTCACATCCAGGGTGAGGCTTTCGGTGTATGATTTGGGGGTGGATTTCAGGGCTGTAAGAGGCAAATGCGCAGTACTGTGGGTTCATGTCTACAAGTTGTAACACCACAAAGTTCACGGATGCCAGGATATGTCACTGTATCTGATTCCGCGGCTCCGCATTTATGGATTTACAGCATGCCTTTCACATGACGGAATGTGCCCGTCAGGAGCTTCAGCGACAAGTCCAGTGTACGAGGGTACGAGGGTTTAAGGAGGATGTCTCAGAGTGCCCCAAGCCTTAGTTTGGACACCATATTCCCAACAGAAGCTAGTCAAGTCCTCAAACATTCGGCCAGCGTTGAACACAGCGGCTGCATTTCTTGCTAATCTTGGCAGAGAGTCTCCGTCACAGAGCTTGATTGCCAATCCAATGATTATTTTTCACAAAGCCTAAAACCCCAACCCTAAGCCCTGACTGCTTCGAGCCAGCAATCCTTGTCTGGTAAGCCCAGCTGCCAACCCTGAAGAAGAATGGCCCAAGGCATCTATGGGGTTTATTGGGGGCTAGGTAGGGATATAGTGGAAAAGATAGAAGCTTTTCATTAGGGCTTAGGGGTATAGGTTTTAGGGCTTTAGGGCTTGCCGCTCTGGACTTCAAAGGGTTGAACTTGCAAAGACCAAACCAAATCTGAAGGCCGCATGCTGAAATCAGGCCCTACTCCCAAAACCCTGATTCCTAAACTCCCCGAAGCCCTAAACCCTGAAATCTTTGCGTGAGGCTTGCAGCAGTTTGAGCAGGTATAGACAGTTAGAGAGGCATGGAGTGCCTACTCCACATGGATTTGTTTGGTTTAATTTCATTTTCATGGGCTTCTCAAATCCATCCCTTTCGGGCGTCAATGGCTCAAACACTTCACAACAGTCTTTTGGGATCTGCTTTATGATTAGGATCCCTGGTTGGGAATGTATTTAGGTTTCGCTTAGCGAATGGTTGAGGGCTTTTACAATCAGATGGCAGATGTCTATTCATCTGTTTTTCCGTGCTTTGCAACAGCTATGGAGGTATGGGGAGCAATGTTGAGAAGTAGCCTTGTCAAAATTCTCGTATGTGCTAAGCATGTTACGCAGCGATGGCAACTAGATCTTCTGGCATTCAGTTCACCTGATCCCACTAAAGCGCGGGGGGCCCAGCCCGACTGAGATTGCAGTTTGGTTGCGGAAGCTATATTACCGTCGTTGTGTTGCAGGTGTTCACGTCTATCATGCCGAAGTGTGTTCTCACTTCAAAAGCCCGGCTTTGACCATGCGCAACCCATTTGCCCTGCAAAACTCCACATATAACCCATTTTTACACCTCGCCGATCTCGGATTATGTGTCAAAGGCCCAATATTTCCATCACCCGACAACACTCTAGGTTCGAGAATGTCCCGTTTAAGGTTTTCAACATGTTGGGTCATTGAGCATAGTATCCATGCCGTACCAGCTTCATTTCCATTTATGAGTTTGCGAAGCCCATGAGTCACGTGCCTGAGCCCATCAGAAAACCCTCCGTCCAGAAATGGCACGTTCTGTGCATAGCCTGGGCCTGAGCGTCCCAGGGTCCTGAATAGCGGAGATTGAGAGCTTCAAAATAGATGTATTTCTAAAGCTGAAAGCCTGTAGCTCCGCTTCTGTGGGGGTTTGGGGATGCCTCGGGTCTCTGGTAGGAGTGTAACCTGCGGCCATGACCCGGACAAGAGGTCCAAACGGCAGGTTATCGATTTGCCATACATGCTGTTCCTTTTTCCGACCGGGGGCACGAGCTCATCAAGGTTCTATTCTGCAGCAAAATAGGTGCATGAATCATCAGGCATCTGGAATTGCTACTATACTCAAGTTGTGTTTGGGCAGTGTATCTCCTTGGGGCCAATGCTTGAGCTAAGTACAGCAGTTTTGTCTGCTTCGGGGATTGGCGCGAAGATGCTGAGAGCTGTAGGACGCATGTGGAACCGTGGAACAAATGCCTTTTCTCCGTTGCGGATTCCTGTGCTGCAAGATTCATGCAATTGTTGTTGTGGCTAATAAGTCTACACAACCTGCCCATCATTGGTTGTGAAGTGATGCGATTTCCTGCTGTCATAGGCCACGTTAGGGATCATGTCATGGTTTACTGGGATCCAGCTAATCGGCGCTGTGTACCTGCTGTGCACTTGCAAACAGATCATGACTAGCACCCATGTGGGAATACCAGCGGTAGACTGAGCTGGCTGGCTGGCATTGGCCACAACTCTAGCACAGTGAGGGTAATAAGTTGTTATGTGAATCTTCAGCGCGCATATGTTCACAGAATTTTCTGGTCCAAGGCTTGCAGAGCCCATTCAGTCAAGTATATGAAAGGGTTTCTTTTGTATATCTCTGTGAGCAACACACCAGGAGCTTGTGTCTGAGTACAGCCCACACGGTCTCACACCTTTGAAGACGTGTTTGACATATTTTCGGCGGAGGGTCCACCTTCTATCTGTCAGAACAGGCTTTGAAGCTTGGAAGAGAGATTCCAAGACCTCTTCAAGGGACGTATAGGGTTCAACACCAATATTTTCCCAAACCCTTAAATACTCTAGGCATTTCAATCCATATAAACCTTATAAGATTCGTTTCAGGCCAGCAGGCAGTGAAACCGAACGCAAATACAACCCCTCGTATGCGTACTCCCTAGAGATTCTCAAGCCCTACTGCGTAGACAATCTCCTTGGGCTCCTGGGTCTTAACTATTGGCCTTTAGTTGGGCTTCTAATGTTCTAATTATGGGGTATATTTTGTAACTTACAGACCACAGGATTAAGGCCCAGACTGTTCCAATCTCCCTAGATAATCTCCAATATAGGCCCTAACTAACATAATATGAAAGGCATCCCTAGATTCAAGAATCCCCAAATACCCAAGGTTGGCCCAACTGCCAGTGCAGGATGCAACGTGCGCGTTGCCATTTCCCAAAAACACTTTCAATCTCTCCTGCGCTGAGCGCAGCCCCCGACGAAATCCAAAAAGAGCGCGGCCCGTTTTTGAGCCATAGTCTGAACTCCTGAAATGGGTTATATAAGGGATTATATAGGGGAGTAGTTTAGGGGTTATTAAGGGGGATGCTAGGAGTTTAGACTATAGCTCATTTTAAAATAATGGGGAATATGGGAAGGTACACATGACATTTGTCCAGACTCCTTGCCTGTTTCTTGGACACTGCGAGTGGCAAGAGAGAGTTCCATCACAGTGTGTCGCAATTAGGCAGGACGCTTAAACCACATAATGATTCATCACTGTTTTACAGTATACTTTATTCTATTACGGTTCTCCGACTAAGGCCAGAGCTGAGGACACGGTCTCTGAACCTGATGACCCTCAAATGGGGCATGCACATGCATATGGCTAAGCGCATGCCACCTCGGCTGCTTTAGGCAATGTTTGTTCACCTCCCTTGTCAATGTTGCTGTACTGAGAAAACCTGCCAAGTTTCCAGAGTCTAGAACAAAGTGAACCTAACAAGCTGCAGCGCTCCAACCCCTGTTCCTCCACACTGAGATAAGGCACATGTACGAGACACCTTCGATCTATCATTGTGGCACTTCAAGAAATGTATGTTATTTGACATCCGCTACTTTGCTCGTTGTTTTCTTCTGCAGGAGTCTGTACCTATAAGCCCTGCAATGAGACCCCTCGTCGTGTCCTCAGTTACCCAACACTGCGCCCAAGGCATAATCTACCTCTGGAAGATCTGCACAAGAAAGAGCTGCTCCTGCAAGCTCTGTGTGAAGCTTAGACATTCCAGGTTCAGGGCCAAGCGAATTCGGTTTCTACACGAATTTCTCTTCTGCCTGCAGCGTGGAGTACTCCCTTTATTGACGAGCAGAACTGCCTTCAAATGGATTTCTGGTAATATTGCAGTGGCTTTCATCAAACGGGATCCTTCCGAGTGCTAGTCTAATGGGCATGTACCTAGGGCCTTTAAAGCTGTTTATGGCGGAGGCCAGAATTAGTAGCATGGTTTTGCAAACAAGGCCTTGAAACACCAGGAAGTCTGCATGTCTCTTCTTCTTTCGTTTGCGAAACCATGATGGACCCTTTCCTCATTTTCCGGTTGCAGACTCAAGATGCCCAAATCCTAGAAAACCTAATCCCAATCCGACACCCTCAAACATTATAGTCCCCCTTCAGTAGATAGAATATGGGGTATATGGGGATCCTATTCTAATATGCCCAAAACCATATTCTATCTACTTAAGGGGGACTATAACTGGTCAAGCAACAGCAGAGAAGGTCGAAACCAATATCGGACCCTGGATCTCCTTGGCGCTGGCGGCTATGGTCGCGGGGACAGGGGGAAAGATTAAAGAAGCCACCGCTGCTCAAACCAGAAACCTAGGATTCCGGGTGTATGGATAGCCTGTGCTTGGAAGTTGAGCCCAGTCCAATCTTTTCTTTTATCCCAAAGCTCCAAACCCTGAGCTTCAGAATTTAAGTCCACGGTGCTACCAGGGGATAGTCAGAATCTCATGTTATTGTTCCACGGGTTCTCACGTGATGTTCAGGGTCCTCTTTTTCACCATAGGTATATCTGCCTTGACCACGGTTACATGAGTCCTCTGCTTGGACCTCTGAACTTGTACTTGCAAAGGCTGAAAAGGGCATACGTTTGGATGGATCTTCGGACTCCAAGGGTTCTGGGCTGTATATGTGACAGAGACACCATCAAAATCCTACTTGGCTTCAAACCCAACCTTTTGTGGAATCTGGTGTGTCGCCAGTCTTTACTTACCAAAGCGCATGCTAAATTTCATGGATCCCTTATTGAAGGACATTGAAACAAAGATTGCTCGAGGGTTAAGGATCAGGGCAAGCAATCCTCAAAGCAGACACGCTTTGGGAACGCCCAGCACCCGTACTTGATTTGAGTAACAGGCTCCGTCTACCTTGTGGAGCGTCTTCCTGATCTCGAGCGCTATGTCTCCAAGAAGTGGCTTATCTGAAAAAAAAGGAGGGTTTCCAAATTATCCCGCCAAAAGTCCCGACCCCCCTTCTCCAGTACCAAACTAGCATAATATCTCCTGGGTCCGGCAGCATGTTTCGGGATTTCTGGGCATCTTGAAGATGGGCCCAATTCTGGTGTGCATCTGCCGCTAGGATCCTTGTCTCGGATGTACACGAGTCGCACGCTTGTTCTGGGTCGCCGCAGTTTCAACTGTCCCCAGGACCTCATACTCAGGTTTCCAAAAGGAGTCTGGTTACGTACTTCGAAAGGTACCGGAAGTACATGCGACGTGAAGTCTCGAAGAGGTCCAGCTGAGAACTGTGGCTGTATACCCCTGTTCTCTCGGCTCCGGCATGCCTAGCCCAAAGTGGGCACCACAAGGCAGAGATCCCTAGACCTTCAACGCCTAACCCAAAACTACATGATAGCCAGCGCCCAAGCTTTCAACCCCAGACACCCATGAGATGATTTCATGTTGAGGATCCCTGTGCGGGAGATTACGGAGGTGGACGAATACAGCCGCGAAGCCAAGGAGCGTGCTTTGGTACCAAGGCAACCATGGTCGAAACAGGTTAGAACAAGATGGGCCTGAAGCAGAAAACAGCAACATCGAAAACATCAAGCGATGAATAACCATCCGCATTTTCGTTGCAACCATAGTAAACTCTACTGTAGGGCTCCCAGTTACCTAAATAGTAGGCCACTTGGCTATGAAACTATAGGACTATAGGGTATCCAGAGACGAGAACCCATTATTTTGGTAACTGGAGGCCTAGGGAAAGGTATGCGGA